AAATTGTTCTTACCAGAGGGATGCAAATGCAGATCGTATTTCTGCTGCCCGAATCATGCTATGCTATCATAAACACGAAACAGTCAACATATAACGTGTTAACTAGACACAAGAAGCTCTTTATGGAGACTTTAATCAAAAGAAAAACTAGAAACTATAGTCATACGGATACCAAGGCTATCCAAGTGACTCTAATAATTCAACGTGAGTCGTTTGCTAAAGTTATCAAGAGATTTTTTGGCTTGTCTATTTCAAAAAATAGTGCTATTACCCTAAATCCCTCCAGGAAACTTAAGAAATGGTCCATAATGGACTCGGGCCTGTTATTTTCACAACATCCCCTGTCAAAACCCACACAGAGCTCCTAAGGCCTCCCAGTGGGGAAAGGCCATCACAGGAGAGCTGTCTCAGATGCCCAGACACGATCACTTTGACCTCTGCCACTCAGTTTCCTGAATCTCTCTCCCTTTCAGCCGAACTCGGTCTTCTATTTTTATCTGATTTTCTTTTCTGAAGGCGAGGAGAACACACATCTCCAGCCTGGGTCGAAACGCCTCTCCCGGGCCAATGGCCGTCTCCCCACCTTACAGGTGGCACAGGGCCTGGCGAACCCCCCGCCCCGCCCACGCAGACACCCTGCAAAGTTTGGGGGGCCGGGAGACCACGCAGAGGCCCGGCTCCAGCGACGCCCGGCAAGGCGCAAGATGGCCCTGAGCCGGCCCCACTGCGGCGCGCGGGGGCGGCGGGGCCGAGGGCCGGGACGCGGCCGACCTGCGAGCTAGACGCCCGGCCGCGCGCCTTCCCGCAGCCCGCGGTCGCCAGGTGAGCGGCGGGCGGGGGCAGCCAGGTGGGCCCGAGCCCGGCGGAACCAGAGCCGCCGCAGCGGGCAGCCAAGCTGGGCCCGGGGCGGGGAGACGAGGTGAGGCCGAGCCCGGGACACGGAGCTCGGGCGGCTTCCTCAGACAGCCCCGGGGACGCGGCGGCTCACAGGCCGCGGCTCAGCCGAGCGCCTCGCCAGGGGCCCCGTAGTCTCGGCGCGCCCGCCGTCCTTACCCTGCATGCTGCTGACCGCCGGGTGGCCGGGGGCGGGAGGCCCGATGGGGCCCGGGGTGCCGCCACCGCCCCCGGAGCCGCCGCCGCCGCCGCCGCTCGGGGTCGGAGCCGCCATTGTTGGAAGTGAGGAGCCGAGCGGCGCCGCGGCGGCTGCAATGCAGCAAGCTCGGCCTCTCGCTCCGCTGAGGGCGCGGCGTGCGCCGCCTTGGCCCCGCCCCGGACACGCCTCCGACACGCCCCCGTGCACGCCCCCGCCAAAGCTGACGCGCAGTCTCCAATTCTGGCTGAACTGCAGCATCCAGGACGGAGGGCAGGGCCTGGAGTCCTGAATGCGGTGGCCATCTACCCTCCAGGGACCTAAGTGGCTAGTAGAATCAGAAATATTTGTGCATTCTCGGGGAGGGAAAAACCTATGACCCCAAAGCTTTCGAACTACCTTCTCAGAGCCTAAGAACCCAGAATTAGAACAGGAGCTCTGGAAGAAATCTCAGAGGTCAGGCTTCCTGTCCAGTCTCTGATTCATGGCTTCCAAAAGAGTCTGCTGTAGCTATGGTCTCAGACCAATGCTCTCTGCACTGCTGGCAGTTGGCAGGGGTCTTTGAAAGAAAAAGGAAAAATTCCGGTTTAGGCTTTTCAGCCCAGAATGCATGTAAAATATTTTGTCTATTTACTTATTCTTTGTGGGAAGAGAACAGCAAACAACCAAAGGAGGAACTGTGATGGCTCTCAAACGTACCTCCTTTTCAAGCGCGGGTTAAAAGGCGGCTTTCTTTGCTGGAAGCTATTTTTTAGTTCCAGGAAAAGATCCAAAAATCGTTGAAATTGACCGTGGCCATGCATGTTTTTAATTCCAGTACTTAGAGGCAGATCTCTGTGAGTTTGAAATTAACCTGGTCTATATATTGGCTCCAGGACCTTGTCTAAAAAAAATTTTTTTTAAAAAATTAAAAATATAAGATGAAATTCTTCCCAAATCAACTTGCCATATTAGAAAACATGGATGGATGCAAAAGCAAAACAAAACAAAAAAAAACTCAATATAGTGTATTTCTTTTCACTTGGATATGTCAACATACAAGGAAAAGGCATCAAGGGCCCCATAATTTGGTAGCAATGTCCCAGATAGCTTATCATTGCCAGACTCTAACTGCAGTGTGGCATGGCATTTGCTTCACCAGGAGTGGTTCCCAGGCAGCTCTAACGTCGCTGTGCAGTGCGCTGTGGTGTGTTAGTGTCATCCTCGTCCTCAGTTCCAGTTCTTTGGGGTCTGGAGTGATGCCAAGAAATAGTTGGGAGGGATTTAATTTCCCCATTCCCATTCCGACTCTTTGGTGTGGAGAATCAATACGTTCACAGTCTAATGAAAATGCTTTTGTAAAGTGCCCCCCTTCCTAACACGTACATAGTTATTTAGTAAGACCTTAAGATATATGTAACTATTCCAATCTCTTAAAGGCATTACCAGAGTTTGGATGAGAAATGGAAGATGTACATACCACCCCTTCCAATATTGCCTTAGAGGGTATAAAGGTTGTACAAAAGAATTTTGATCTATGGAAAACAGTGACCCAATGTAGTTAAACGAATATGAATGAGAAAAACAAGTAACAAAGAAACCTGGGGAAAACATTCAACCCAGGAAGTTCATGATGGCAAGGCAACTGAAGAGAGATATGAACCCAGCCAAGCTATTTGTCTAATGTTGGGCTTGATTGAGATAAAGCTGATAAAACTTGCATTGCTGTTGGTATTATAAACGGATAAGGACTGAGAACAAGAACGTCTCATTAAGTCTACACAAGAAAAGACTTTGATTTCTTAAAACTAATGTAGTTATATACCTGGTTCTTGCTTGTTGTCATGTTCCTATTTTTCTTGTGTGTTTCTGTATTCCGTTTGTTGTATAGGGAGATTCCTCAAAATTCATTTGTTGAAGTTGCAAGTGTTACAGCTCTTGAGGGAAAGGTATCCTGATTGTTGGGAAGCCAGGCTATACCTGAAGCTGGAGTCTGGTGGGGGATGGTCCCCCTGCAGGATGTAGCAATCCTGTTCCTCTCCAAGAGAAAACCTTTACAGCTGAGCTCTGTTCCGCAACACCCCCACACCCTCCGGCCAAGGAGGTTTCACAGCAGAGGTATCTATTTCTTCTCAACCCCAGTTTAAGATGTTACTTCTTCTGCTGCTTCACTCTGCATAAGAGGAAATCCCTACAGACTTGTAGCAATCGGCTCTGGCTCCTGCAAAAAGTTGATACTTCTGATCCCAACCTCCCACCTCCAGGGAGCTTCCCCGCAGAAGAATCCATTTCTTCTGCTCTGCTTTGCTCCCAAGGGTACTTCCCAGCAGAGACTCTTCTCGCCAACCAAGATCTTTACCCAAAACTCTTCCAAGAAAGAGATTTATTTGGGAAGAAGGATTCCAGGAGAGTGGCCGCCTCTACCAGCGTGGAGAAGAACAGCTGCCAACTGAACAGGGAGAGGGGTTTATACATGGCTTCTTAAGGGTGAAGTTTTTCCAGGGAGAAGATTTTCAGGAAGGTAATTGGTCAGATTTTTGATCCCCTTGAACTTGAACAAGCTCAGATTGGCTAGTTTTCCTGCTCAGGGACTGGTTGGTCTTATGTTCAGTTGGTCAGGGGCATGGTTGGCTCTGGTGTCAGGGCCAAAGTGTTTCTTTGGCTATTGTTTCAGGGTCAGGGTGTGTTTCTTTGGTTCTGGTTTCAAGGCCAAAGTGTTCCTTTCACTGACTCTGGTTTTCAGGGTCAGCGTCAGTTACTTTGGCTGACCATTTTACCCTACAGAAGTCCTAAGCTCCCAGAACTGTGACAGGGACTGTGTCTGAAGATGACAGGGTCTTTAAAGAGGTATGGTAGAACACTCTTTAAAGTACGCCCTAACCCATTTGCCCAGTGTGCTTATCTTATCATAAGGTGGTGTGTGAACACACAGGTAAGATCCTCCTGAGGAAACTAGAAGATGGCGACCGACAAGCCAAGAAGAGAAACCATTATTGCCCACACCTTGATCTCAGAGCTCTGAGCAAACAAATTACTGTTGTTTAAGCTACCTGCCTGTGGTACTTCATTATGGCAGCCACAGTAAACACTGTACATGGCTTTTAAAAATGAATTTCTCAGCCGGACAGTGTTGGCACATGCCTTTGATCCCAGCACTCGGGAGGCAGAGGGAGGCAGATCTCTGTGAGTTTGAAGCCAGCCTGGTCTACAAAGCAAGTTTTGTTTTGTTTTCTGACAAAGAGAGAAACCCTGTCTTGGAAAAAAAAAAAAAGCTCCAAAGGAGCTTAGAATTTGGGGTAGTAATATGAGTAGCTGGCATAATTTGAGGGGAGAGGGGAAGACAATCAATTAAGCAACCTGTATCAAACTACAGCCACTTTCCTGGGAGAAGCTGCAGAGAAAAAGCCATGTTTGCCTAGCCAGTGGTTAGGGAAATTTGGCTGGAAAATCTAGCTAACTGCTCCTCTCTGATTCCTGTCTCAGTGGTTAGATTAACAACTCAATGTTCGGGGGTAGAGTTATAACTTAGCTCTTAAGAGCATTTGTTTTACAGACTACCTGGACTTGATTCTCAGCACAGCACAGCATGGTGGCTCACAACCATCCACAACAGACTCTGGCATCCTCTTCTGACCTCTGCGTACACCAAAGCATGCACATGCTACATGTACGTGCATGCAGACAAAACACTCATATGCATAAAAGAAAATAAATCTAGAACTTTTAAATCAAAAAAGAATATATTTTCAGCCAGGCTGTGGTGGCACACGCCTTTAATCCCAGTACTCGGGAGGAAGAGGCAGGCAGATCTCTGTGAGTTTGAGGCCAGCCTGGTCTACAAGAGCTAGTTCCAGGACAGGCTCCAAAGCCACAGAGAAACCCTGTCTCAAAAAAAAAAAAAAAAAAAAAAAAAAAAAAAAAAAAAAAGTAGGGGCTGGAGAGATGGCTCAGTGGTTAAGAGCATTGTCTGCTCTTCCAAAGGTCCTGAGTTCAATTCCTGGCAACCACATGGTGGCTCACAACCATCTGTAATGAGGTCTGGTGTCCTCTTCTGGCCTGCAGACATACACACAGACAGAATATTGTATATTAAATAAATAAATATTTAAAAAAAAGAAAGTGTGGGGCTGGAGAGATGGCTCAGTGGTTAAGAGCATTGCCTGCTCTTCCAAAGGTCCTGAGTTCAATTCCCAGCAACCACATGGTGGCTCACAACCATCTGTAATGAGGTCTGGTGCCCTCTTCTGGCCTGCAGACATACACACAGACAGAATATTGTATATTAAATAAATAAATATTTAAAAAAAACAAAAGTAATTTACAGATGGATTTCATCTTAGTACCCCAACTTCGACCTCTGGGAAAGTAATCAGACACCCCTGATGTGGCTAACAGGGTCGTCAGATATTTCCTGTAAAGGCTCCACAGATGGCTTCCAAAACACCTGTCTCCTTTCCACTCAACATCATCAAGGACTTAGGACCAAGCCATCCAATGGCACAGAGAACTGTGTGGTTTCTGGATACCTTTTGAGCAGCTTGTCAACTGGAAACACGGGGCATGAGAGGAGCTTGGACTCATCCTACCACCTGAAAAGCCAGAGTTTCAACCAGAGTCAGGTGGCCATTCAGGTGATGTTACTAATTTTGACCGCCAATAATCATGCATCTATGTAGAACTGCAGGCAAATGTTTGTCACGGCTTTATCCGGATCAATAAGAATGGAAGCATTAAAACTCAAAGTCATTACCACCAAGGGAAAAGTAATATTGACAGCCCTGGCCATGGTCTGAGAAAATAGAAATACACTAGAAAGGATGGGGTTTTATTCTCCCAGAACCACATCCACACCCAGCACTCAGTACCTGTGTTCTTTTTCTCTAACTTCACTTCACAAAAGAAGCGGGGGGGGGGGGGGGGGGGGGGGGGGGGGGGGTGCTGTGGTGCATGTCTGTATCCCAGAAAGTTAAAGTAGAAAGATTGAGAATTTCCAGCCAGCCTAGGCTAAATCGGGAGAAACTGTCTCAAAAAGAAGGAAGGGGAGGGTGAGACTGTATTAAAAAAAAAAAAAGAAAGAAAGAAAGAAAGAAAGAAAGAAATGAGCGGAGAAGGGAAGCGAGGGAGTGAGGAAGGAAAGAAAAGGGGGAGACAAGAAGAGTCAAGTAAAATGAAACTCAAGCATGGCTGCATATAACTGTAATCCCAGCGTTGGGAAGCTGGGGCAGGGAAATCCCAAATTCAAGGCCAGCCTGGGCTACAGAGTGAGCCATAATGAGGGCAGGGGGGGGGGTCTGAGGGCAAAGGAGAGGGGAAGAGGGAGAGAAGTGAGCATCATGTGCTCTGGGAGCAGGGAGCTTGGAGATGAAAAGAGAGGGTAAGAGGGACCATCCAGGGATGGTGGCACGATTCTGTTTCTTGAAATTTTGTTACACATGTATACACACATGACTAAAAAAGCTATAAATGTCTACTTAAGATTCATGTACTTTTGTGTATATATTTCACATCCAAAAAAAGCCTAATAAATGTCGAACTCTAGTTAATTATATATTGAAGTATTTGAAGAGGCCACGTACTACCTGATACTCTACAGTAGACTTTGAAAAACGGTTGGGTTGCAGAACACGGGGATGGAAAGATAAGTAGACCCCTGCTGAAACAAGCTTTATAAAACCTTCGTGACAAATCCAGAGGACCAGCACACCAAATCAAATGGCTGAATTTTTAAATAACAGATCTGAAATTTTTCATAATGTCACCAAATTCAAATCACAAGTGGTGTGGGAAGTCCTTCTGTATATGTGTTGCTTTTATTGGTTAATGAATAAAGAATCTGCTTTCAGCCAATGACTTAACAGAATATAGCCAAGCTGGGAGAGATATAGATAGAAAGAGTAGGCAGAGTGAAGATACAAGCTGCCAGCCAGAACCTTGCTGGTAAGCCACAGCCATGTGGCAATACACAAATTCATAGAAATGAGTTAAATTAAGATGTAAAGAAGATGAAAGAGCCAATAAGAAGCTAGAGCTAATAGACCAAGCAGTGATTTGATTGATACAGTTTCTAAGTGATTATTTCATGGTCTGGGCAGCCGGGAAAGAAAGTGGCCTCCTACAACACACAAGGCCACTAAAATCATTCTAAAATTAAATATGTTGCTAAATTATGCTGTCAATAAAATTACAAAAGACACAATGTAATTTAAACCCAAGTGAAGTTCATGACTATAGAATTTAGTCATTGTTTAGGAATGGATGGCGCCTGATGGTGTTTTCTGGTGGGGTGGTTGTTTGTTTGTTTGGAATTAGGTAACAATATATGATGTAAATTTAATAGCATTGTTTTACCTTGTTTCTTCTGACTTCAGGCAGTTTGCCATAAAGCACAGGCTAGTTTTATAGAAATAACTAGTGATCTTTCCAGCAGTCCCAGTCTTCCACATGCTTGGATTATAGGCACGTGTCCTCTTGCCTGCTGAGAAGGCCAATATTGGCTGTCAACTAGACAGATGCTAGAATCACATAGGAGATGGACCTCAGAGAGAAGTGAGACTTTCCAGGTTGGGTTAATAGAGGTGAGAAATCTCACTCTAAAAATGTGGGTGGCACTATCTCACGGGCTGGGGTTATGGCCTGAATAAAAAGGGGAGAAACGAACTGCACACTAGCATTCATCTCTCTCTGCTCCTGACTGCAGAGTCCATGGGAGCGGCTGACTCACGCTCCTGCATGGCTGTGCGCTCTTCCCATCACGAGGGACTGACTGTATCCTCACACTTTAAGTCAAACCCTTTTTCCTTTAAGTTGCTTCTCAGGGATTTGGTCACAACAAGAAGGAAAGTGCAGGTGCACCTGGCTTGTTCTGTCTTCTTGGCCAGAGATGTAAACTATAGTCCATATACCACAGAGTTTACCCAGTAGAGCCGCACAATTTGGTGACTACATACAGTGGCAGAAGTCGGCCGCCATCACAAGAAGCAAGTTTAGAATGTTTTCCTCACTCTCGAAAGACTTCTATCCCTTTTACAGTCACCCTCCGCGCAGTGACTACCAGCCATGCCTTCTGTATTGTCACTTGACACAGGCTAAAGTTTGTCTGGGAAGAGGAAACCTCAACTGACCAAATGCCTCCATCAGATTGGCCTGTTGACCGGTCTGTGAGGGATCTTCTTGATGGATGATTGATGTGGAAGAGCCCAGTGTAGGCTGTGTCGTGCCTGGACAGGTGGTCCTGGGAGGTATGAGAAGACAAACGGAGCAAACCAGCAGGAACAAGACCGCATCCTCCCATGGTTTCTGCTTAAACTCCTGTGTCTAGGTTCTGTACCCACTTAAGGACTACCAGACTCCTTCCCAGGGTGGTTGAGTCATTTGTCTTCTTAGAATAACCGAAGGTACGATTTCGCCACATCCATACAGATTGTTAACAGTCTTTTTGACTGTAGACTCCCTAGTGGGTATCATGTTTGGGGAGCATTTTGCCTTTATTAACCTATGAGATGAACATTAACAGGTGTTGCATTTTAATACATAAGATTATATAAAGACTATATAAGAACTACTAAGGAAACATGCACCATTGTGTGTTCCAAAGGGACTGCCATGAACTCCAAGGCCATTATCAGTCACTTCTGAGTGAATCAGATCACAACAGATTCAACCAATCAGAGCTAAAGAAAGTCATCCTCTTTGCAAGAGGTACATGCCAAAAGTTGGGTTGTGTACTAATGAGATACCAGAAATTAAAATCTGCTAGTGATTGAAAAAAACCAAGCACTTCATCATCAGCATAGATTAACCATTATTACTGTCCATGTAACTAGTTTTGGAAGGTGGGAAGGAGTGGAATTGCCCCACTTTTGGGAGTAACAAGAAAATAAAGTCATACATAACACAATAATATTCATGAGGAAGAGAGATGTCACAAGAGGAAAAAAACTGAATTAGTTTTAAAGAATTTCTGTTTTTGATTGGCTTGGGTTTTTCTCAATATTCACTGAAAGCCAAGATGACCTCGGACTCCCAGTTTTCTGCCTCAGCCACTGTGTGCTGGCTGAGGCTACAAGTGTGCATGCACCACCATGCACAGCTACCAAGAATGCTTTATATTCTTGCTTGTGTAGGATACATAATTCATAGAAAAATGTTTAATTATTTTAATACCTAAAGAGCACACAAGCCAATATGCTAACGCAATGCAATAAAAATGAATAAAACATGAATGACTTACTTATATTTCATTATTTATAACCTGTGATTACAACTCTCATGTGTAATTGTAGCAGTGCACATTAAAACAATGATTTATTGTATTATTTTGATTATAAAATAGACAAATAGCCGGGCAGTGGTGGCACATGCCTTTAATCCCAGCACTAGGGAGGCAGACACAGGTGGATCTCTGTGAGTTCGAGGCCAGCCTGGTCTACAGAATAAGTACTAGGACAGGCTCCAAAGCTACACAGAGAAACCCTGTCTTGAAACACCAAAATAAATAAGTAAATAAAATAGAGAAATGTTTGCCTTTTTTGACCCCGCCACCCACTACCACCTTTTTCAGACAAGGCTTCACTATATAGCCATGCCTGGCCTGGAACTTGGTACATAGACCAGTCTGGCTTTGAACTCTCAGTAGTCCACCTGCCTCTGCCTCCTGTTGGGTAGCATTTTCCTCCCTCCAAGATAAAACATTCCATCTTGAAGGGAAGCTCGTTTATCCTCAAGATGCTCTAAAGGTGGGCAAAGCATTCCATTCTGCAAAGAAACTCCTTAAAATCGAGGAATTTACAACACAAAAGCTTCAGGAAGTCGGTGAAATTGACCAGATCACTGGGCCCTTCCCTTTCAAGCATATACAAGCCCAGGGGATTACAGTTCCAGACCATCAGAACGACCTAAAAAAAGAAAGACACCTTCTGACCCATTGAGCCATTTGCAGATTTCAGTGCACTCTAGGTTTCCAGCCTTTGTGGGCTGCCATCCACACTGCTGTGGGCTTTGGTGATGTAACAGTCTTTAAGAAATTTCTGTTATGGTAATTAACCCCTCACCTACACTCCTGTAAGTAATCCTGATAAACCCAATGGTTCACCAATTGGACTTGGCTGGCTTCTTTGCTTTAATCTGTTGTCTGTTTCCTATCGTAGTGAGCAGACATTTGTCCACATCTCCCAGGGAACAAACAGTGACACCAATACCTTCCAACTGCCAGGCCTCTTTTGCTATTGTCGTGTCTGTGGTTTTTTTTCACGACATGGTCATTCTACGTAACCTGGGCTGATCCGGAGCTTTTGGAAATCTTCCTGCCTCAGCATCTCAGACACTGGGATCATTAGGTACACACCACCACATCCAGCTTCTCTTTACTTTTTTGGCATATGAGGTATCTCAGATACAAGCCCTAGAATTCCAAAGACAGCTCATTTAACTAAACTCAACTCCTATTCAAAATTCTTACCTTTTCTTACTCTATTTTGATGGTTAGCTCATAGCCGAAAAGACTGACCTGGGACTATTGCTCAAAGAACGAGTGCTTACCTAGCAAGTGCGTGGCCCTAAGTTCAAGTCTCTGCGTTGGAAGAAAAATAGGAAAAGAAACAGGTCCCCTCCTGCAGTTTGCATAGCACATTTTAATGTCAACACCGTCTTTGAATTCCAGTAGGTAAAGGTTGTTGTAAAGAGTTGAGATTTGGACTGGGGCTGTCCAAATTTGGTATCGCATAGCTCAGCTGGTGGAGTGCTTGCCTAACATGCACAAATCCCTGGGTTCAATTCCCAGCACCATGTATGATGACAAACGCATTTGAAATCTCAGCATTAGGCAGGTAGAAGCAGGATCAGAAGTTCAAGTTCACCCTCATACACCCTCTATGTAGTAAGTTTGAGGCCATCTTGGTTCATTTTACTACCTAGAGAATAGAGATACTTAATTTTTCATCCTTCAGATTTCTGCTTTGACTAATCTTTCCATATAAACTTTACAATCAGCCCAGGTTTTTTCAGACTTGGACAAAAAAAAAAAAAAGAATCTTTTTTTTTCTCCTAAAAAATAAGGCTAACTTATAGAAAGGGGTAACTGTGGGCTGCTGAGGTGACTCTGGGTAAAAATGCTTGCTGTGACAGCCTGATGGCCTGAGTCTGAGCCCCAGAACCCACGGTGGAAGGAGGAGCCTGGCTCCTGCGCTCTGCTCTGATGTCCACACTGAGGTTAGCCCATGTAAGCAGCAGTGCACACCTGTGCACAGGCACACACACAAACATACTCAGACATTCATAGACACTCACACATACAGACACTCTTTCTTACACACAGACACACACAAGATGAAATTATTAAAGAGGAGAGACTCAATTACAAGTCATATTAAATGTGAAAAGTGATTTCATCCAGGTTATATAGAAATGGCAACATGGTCAATTTTGTTCTCGCCGATTAAGGTAGCCTGATAAAGTGTCATTCACCAGATGTAACAGGGAAAATGTACTTCAAGGGTTGAGAGTGGTAGAATGCTCCTCTAGCAAGTCTGGGGTCTTAGTTCTGACCCTTAGCACATGAGTATAAAGAGTTACATAACTAATTAGCAAAGCCAGAAATAAACTCAAATACTTAACAATACAGTATGATTCAAGATGTGTTTTCAAATAAGAGACCGCCATCTGCAAACAACTAAACTTTAATTCATATCTCAAACATTAAATTGGGGTAAGGTATAATGGACTGAGTCAAACTGCCGTCATCGTCAAGACTTCTGCTGTATTTGGTCACAAAAGATGATCAGAGCTTGGCCTACTGTTTATTTACCTTCCTCATAGGAGAGGGTGAGGAGGGTCATGGAACCCTCCCTTGAGTATCTGTCCACCTCTCCCAGTCAGTTGTATTCATGGACTCATAAATAAATACTTGGCCCTTCTTTGATGTAACTGTTTGGGAAGGATTAGGAAGAGTGGTCTTGTTGGAGGAGGTGTGTCACTGGGTTGCACATAAAGGTTTCAAAAGCCTAGGCCTGTCTCTCTCTCTCTCTCTCCCTCTCTCTCTCTCTCTCTGTCTGGTGGTTGTTGTCTCAAGATGTAAGCTATCAGCTACTGCTCCAGCCCCATGCCTGCCTGCTGCCATGCTGCCCCCATGGTGGTCCTGGACTCACCTTCTCAACATGTAAACCCCAATGAACTCTTTCTTCTCTAAAGAGTGGGCAGTGGCATTCTCAGGTATAGTTGAAGGGGATGTGGAGAGATGTCTCAGTGGTTAAGAGCGCTTACTGCTCTTCCAGGGGATCCTGGTTTTATTCCGAGCACTCACATGGTGGCTCATAACAGTCTGTAACTCTAGTTCCAGGGAATACGATGACCTCTTTTTGCCTCTGTAGGCACTGCACACATGTGGTACACAGATATTCATGTAAATACTCATATACATCATATAAGGATAAATTCTTTAAAACCATTCATTGGCATATATGTGTATGCCCTCTTCTCTGTATGCATGCCATATGCATGCAGTACCAAGGAGGCCAAAATAGGGCAATGACTTTCCTGGAGCTGGGGGTTACAAGAGGTTGTGAGCTACCAAACGTGAGTGTTGGGAACTGAACTTGTCTCCAACAAAAACAAGTGTTCTTAGTTGCTGACCCATTTCTTTAGCTTAAACCCATGTAAGCATTAAAGCATTCATTCCTTCCTGGCTGTTGATAACTATCATCTTCCAATATTGGTATGTGATACCTTTGATTACACGTGTTTTTCCATGAGCAACCCCAAACTCCCTGAAGCATCTGTTTCAAAGCCTTTCTAAAACAGAGCCCTTTCGCGGATTAACTTTTCATTTTCTCTCCTTTCCCCGACACACTACATTCTGAGAAATAGTAGTTTAAAGAAAAGGACGCTGGAATCTGTTAATCCCGATCTTTTTCTCTCCATGTGTTCCCCAGTATTCAGACCTGTGTGCTAATGAGCTGTGACAGATAACTCCATCTTGTCACCTCTCCAGGGGAAGAAAAACTTGCTTCTCCATTGATCCAGGTGACCTTCGGGAACTGTCACGTGCTCCTGGAGGCTTCTGTTGGAAGGAGATAAGTTCAGTCTGAAAAACCAAAGGCAGACAGAATCTCAGTCTGGGCAGACATCCACCATCCCCAGTACAAGCAACAGGAACAGATGGGACCTCCCACCGCGCTCTGCTAAGGGATTTTTCAGAGTCCTGGTTATCAAGGCGAGGTTGACATCCCAGCAGGGCAAGGGCTGGCTATTTGAAGTTGGCAGATCTGTAGGTACAACAAGGAGTTAGGGACCTTAAAGCGAAGCAAACAGTTTAAAGACAATTAGAGTGAACTTTAAAGGATTCTAGGTTAGTCAGTGAGATAAATAACTACACACAAGGCTTGGGTGAAGCTAAGAGTACAGCGCAGCACTGGTGCAGGCAGAGCTGGAGGCTCTGCTTCTATCCACAGGCAACAAGGCTAACAAGAGCACTGCCACGGAAAGAAAACAAGTAGGACTCTATAGAGTTCACCAGCTTCACCGGGCTGAGTGAAGGCTGCCCTTCCATTAACAGGAGCTGAAGCTTAAAAGGTCAACAACGAGCTGGGCAGCAGTGGCGCACACCTTTAATCCCAGCACTCGGGAGGCAGAGGCAGGTGCATCTCTGTGAGTTCGAGGCCAATCTGGCCTCCTACAAGAGCTATTCCAGGACAGCATCAAAAGCTACAGAGGAACCTTGTCTCGAAAAACCAAAAGTTAAATAAATAAATAAAAATTTAAAAAAAAAGAAAAAAAGGTGAACAGCAACAACAGATATAAACATCTTTAGAGTGAAGCTTTGAGGCAGAGGCAGGCAGATCTCTGAGTTCAAATCCATCATGATCTACAAAGTGAGTTCCAGGACAGTTGGGGCTACACAGACAAAGCCTCTCTGCTTTTTTTGGTTTGGAGAGGACATATGGGGCTAGAGCCCTAAACCCTTTCTTAGAGGGGAGACCAGGATTTGACAATCATGAGAACAATTATTTAATCCCTGGGACTGTGAATGCTGAGTCAGGAGGACTTGGAGAATTTCAGGCCAGCCAGACTAGGGAGCGCAGCCCTGTTCCAACAAACAACCCAAACCCTCAAAGCCCAACCCCTCTGAAAGTCCCTACAAACGATAACAACAAAATGGTAATCTCAGATGTTCTAGGACCCTAACGAGACAGAAATAACATATTGTAAGTGAATAGGAGCTTGTCATAGAAACCTGTTAGCCGCCAGCTAGGCATAGACACTGCATTGAGGCAACAGTCACCTTTCTGTTGGGTTTCAACCTGGAGGCCTTTATTCAGTAGTACAGGACATGCTGCCATGCGCAGAACCTAAATCGCCTACCTGAGAATTTTACAGTATTTACAGTCATTATGAATCGCACCTTGTGGTATCATGTTAAAACACCATGGCAAAAAAGTGTGGCAAAACAATATTTATGCTCAGTTCTAGTTCTTATGATCATGATCTAAGATAATATGATAACATTCTGTTTATCCTTATCTTCTCCCTAAGACAGATGCCATAAAGGCATTCTATGAATTACCACTGGACTTTACAGTGAACCAGGTACAGTTTGTTCTCAGAATTTTACATCCATTTTTCTCGTGTGCTTCTTGCAATAATCCCGAGAGGAAGACGGATGGTGAGCTCTCATGTTACAGATGAGAGCACTGAACCACACATCGAGCTAGCTGAGTATTACACATTACGTGGGTAGGACTTGGTGGTGGGGCTTGGGTAGATGATGAGTTCCAGGCTAGATGGGCAAAATTCTACTTAGAGGGACAAAAGAAGTGGTGGAGGATCTTTGAATCACTGGGGGCATGATTTCGGTTAAAATATTGTTTTAGATGTATGCGTTTCAGTGTTTTGTCTGCATGAATGTCTATGCACAACGTGCATGCCTGGTGTCCCCAGGGGTCAGAAGAGGCAGTGGATGCTCAGGAACTAGAGTTAGGTATTCTTTGTGAACTACCATATGGTTGTTGGGAATTGAACATCAGTCCTCTGGAAGAGCAGAGAGTTCTCTTAACCACTGAGTCACTTATCCAATCCCCCAGGGGAGTGATTGTGAATAGAAGAGTGGACCCTGGCCACACCTTCCTTTCGTTTCCCTGCCATAAGTAGTGGTTTTTTTCTCCACACACTTCTGTCAGCTGTGCTAACTTGCTACAGGCTCCAAAACTACAAGGGCAAACCTCAATGGACTACAACCAACCAAACTATAAACCAAATATTTCTTTCTTTTGTAAGTTGATTACCTTGGTTATTTATTGCATTACCTGAAAACGCACCAACGCTATGAATAGCCATATCTGTCTTTTGAAGATTAAAATAATAGCTTTTCCGTGTATGTGTTGTACATGTGTGTGCATTTGTGTTTGCACATGACTTTGAGGGTGTCCTCAGAGCACCAAAGTATCAGATCCCCTGGAGCTGGAGTTACACGCCCTTGGGAGCCACCCAATATTGGTGCTAGGATATGAACTCTGGTATTCTGCAAGAACAGTATGTGTTTTTGACCACTGAGCCATTTCTCTAGCTCCCATGGATGGGTCTTTAAAAATCATGAATTGCGGTGTTGTTCCCCAGATCAGTGACCACAGAATTGCATTAAAATGTTTGTTTAAAAGATCTAATTGCAGGCTCTGCCTCCAAGAGATTCCAATTTGGTGAGAGGTATAAATAATGTGGTTTTAACCTGCTCCCACCGTATGCTGCATGGCCAGAATGGAATTAGAATGGAACTCGGTACTTTTTCTTCAAGCACTTTGAGTCAGTTAAAATATTTTGAAGCTAAACTAGTCATTATCTTGTTTCCTGTGCTTACATATACAATGAAAGATGCAGAAAAAAAAGGTGGGAAAGAGGTAGAAGTGAAAAAGAATATTTTAAAAATATAATAGACACTGAATTTGAGCAAATACTATTTTACTATTCTGGGCTATGGAGACTTTTTAAGGTCTCCTTCTAAGTTTACTTTATTTTTCATAGTTTTAACCATTGCCAAAGTAAGAAGCCAAACCCACCTCACAAAACCCCAAATGGATAAATTACATTATTGGTGACATATTTATTTTTAATATCATCTGTGACTATTAATTTTCATAGACTCTCATGTGAGTATGTAGCTCCTGCAAGCTAATCATCATGCAGTTTTCATTTTTTTCATAATTTAACCAACAGTCTCACAATGAAAAGCACTAAAATGTTTCATATGGAATATTTTATATGTTAATTCTTGCCTATTAGGACCCAAATAGAGGCTGCCAAACATTTTCCATTAGTTTTAATAACATCTCATAAAGTACCTGATAGAGTGCTGCTTGACTACAAACTGCTGAAAAAGGTTTTTTCATGTTCCAGAGCTATACACCTATACATACGCACTAGAATATGCACACATATAACCTTTACATATACTTCACATAGATTATCTGTATGATAACAACTCCACAATCTGTATGTACACATATGCATTACATATGTATTTTGCTGGCTTCTTGATCATATCTTTATTCAGTTAGCATTGCCATTGATTCTACTGTATGTGCAAAGGACTTGATTATGAATGTACTTCAGGGGATATAGCTCCGTTGGTAGAGTGCTTGGCTAAGTCTTGTACTAAGTCCTAGGCTCCCAGCTGGCAACTCACTGGGTAACAATGCCTGAGTTTGATTCTGGAATCTACACGACGGAAGGAGAGAAGGGACTCACAAAGACCTTGGCACAGATACGCACAATACATAAATAAATAAATTTAATTAATTCATTTATATTCTGCCTTCCAGCTTCAGTACTGCAAAAAACTGGGTGTGGCAGAACATGCCTGTAATCCTAGCACTTGGAGGTATAGGCAGGAGGGTCAGAAGTGAGTTCAAGACTAGCCTGTACTACAACAACAATGTAGAAATGTAGTTCTGCCATGTTTATCCATATTATAGCTCCCATCTTTAAACTGGCATATACTAAGCAGGAAACTTTTAAAGTCAGATATGCATTTTCTAGGGTTTCATTCAATCAGGTAATATAATCCACAAACATTGAATTCAATAAATGTCATCTTGTCTGTCTCAAGAGGTTTATAACAAACAAAAATATTGTTTTGGTTTTTTTTTTTAGACAGACTCCACATAGCCCAGACTGTCCTTGAACTCACCCATTCCAGGAGAAGGATCTTTCCTTTCATCACGTCTCCCCAGTCTGCTCAATGCAGGAGCCAATAGAGTCAGTATTCTATCCTGTCCCAGGGAAGCCAGATTTCCTGCGTGCTAGAAATTCAGGCTAGAAATCACCTAGTTGCACTCCCCTTCTCCCTCGGTAAATGCTTATTAGTAGGAACTATTTGTTGGTGTGGTCCAGGGCTCAGACCTCATATCTCTTTATTTTCACTCATTGTCCCTGGGGGCTTAGACGTTTGTTATTTCCTATGCCTGGAAAATCTTGCCCTGCACACAAGACGTGCTCCTTAACTTCGGGTCTGAATTCAAGGTTGTTTTATCTGTTAGTCCTCCCCTAATCATCCAACATACAGTGCAATCCAACTCTGATACCATCCGTCTTACCTAATCAATTTTCTCCACTTCATTAACCAACATTCTTATTACCCGTGTATTTATTTACTGTTTAGTTATTGTTCAGCTTTCTTCATAAAATAGTCTTGCCAGTGCCAGAGCATTGGGTGTGAAGTTAGCTCACTGCTGTATTTCCCTAGCTAATGGAATTGTATGGGGCACAGGCGAGGCAGCTGGTAAATATTTATGAAGTAAATGAGAATAGATGGCACTTTTCTATTATTTCCTCAGCTAAGTTAGACGTCTTTCTATTTTTAAAACGTGTTTTGGTTGTTTATTCTGTTCAGGAAATGCCATGCCTCGTCCCAATTGCCAGCCTAATAAAACAAAATCAAATCGCCAAAAGGACATCCTTACTAGAACTGTCAGCTTGAGGTTTGTGGACTCCAAGGTCGCCTCTCTTAGCTCGCTGAATTTCAGAACAAAATGTTTCCCGTGGGAAAAGCCTCGGCTCCCGTCACATTTTCATAGGTGTATTGCGCAATTCAAAGCTCCGAGTTACTCTGATCTTCCTTGAACGCTGTTCAACTAAAGCCCAACGCGTTTAACCGGAACCTTATCAAGGTCCCGACCAAACCACCTGATCTTGGAAGAGAAGTTTCTCGGAATAAAAAACAACCCGCTGGGAGGGTCCCCCTAAATGTCTCATGAGTCAGCCAAGCTCTCCTCAGGAACTGTGATAGATAGACACTTCCGCCTCGTTCTGGCTGGCAACCTGTCAACCGCTTATGTCTCTTGACATCTGGGTTAATGACTGCTTTGACCAGCACTGTGAAATGTTTTCTCACTAACTACGATCCTTTCAGCGCCACAGGCTCTTAAGAACACGCCGAGTCTCTTTCCCACTGCTCAGTTTTTCAGGCGTGTGAACGTGCCAAGCTCCCCTCGCCCCCGCCGTGTTTCTTCAGAAACGTCAACCCTTCTAACCACGGGACAGGGAGAGGACACCTCTTTACACCTTCGCTGTCCAGTATGTCAGTGACTCGACTGAACGCCAGTATTTGGACATGAGGTTTAGTCACGAGGTGACAGCTGTGGCCCAGCGCAGGACGGCCAGAAAATGGGCGGAAGGCTGCGGCCGCTCCGTGGGTTAGAAAGGCGGCCCCGGCGGGGACGTCTAGTTGTCGGAACCACCCGCTCGGGGGCCCTAGCTGGGGGAGGCGCAGGACCCGGGCCACGAGCTGTAGCGCTTCTCGGGAACCAATGGGAAAGCCGGCCTCAGGACGCCCCTCGCACGCCCCGCCCCTTGCTCCGCCCCGGCGCCGCGCGTCACCAGGGCCACGGAGAGCGCGCAGCTGTCCAGCTTCCGGAAGTGCGCCTGAACGGGTGGCTCGGGCAGAGGTAAGCCGGTGAGTTGGGCTGGCGGGCGGGGTCGCCGACGCTTGGAGTCAGGCTTGTTGTCGCTGCAGCTCGCTAACTGTCGGGAGCGAGCTGCGGCGGGGACAGCGGTCTAGTCGTTCACCCCCCCCTCCCCCGTAGCTTTCGCTGGCAACGGGCGCGTGCGGGGGAGGGGACTGGGGCGGAACGGAAAATGTGCTCTTCCGGGTTGCCCGCCCCTGGAGAGGGGTCCGGACCGAGAGGCCCTGGGCTCAGGTTGCACGGCTGGGAGGCCAGCGGCTAGTTACCGCGCCCTCTGTGACAACTCTGGCGGCGCCCCGCAGATCCCCAGAAGTCTGCTCTAGCGCTTCCTGGGCTTAAACAGCTGCTGCTTGGGAGCCATGGAGGAACCAGATCGGGAAACTTAACACTTACGTTACAGGGCGGTCCCAAGATCGGCCAGAGCCGAAGCGGAGCCTAAAGTGGGCTGATAAACAAAGGGCTACCTACGTGTGGGTTGCTTGCCTGTGTAGAGACGAATGCTACTCTAGATGCGCGTTTCTTTTCGATTCGTCGAAGCGTCAGTAATACAAATAAAACTGATGATCGTGAGTTCCTTTTGTGAGGAGAAGCAAGTCCTCATCAGGGTAAAACCCCATAAGCTCCTCTATAAAGTCATTTAATTTTGAATAAGTGGACGACTTGTCATAAATGCCTGGGGGTAGCTAGCAGTTGGCCATTGCTGCAGGGAGCAAGTAGTATTTAAGTAGCGTAAGATTTAAATACGTAAGATTTAGTATTAATGTTTGCTGAGTAGTCTCCAAATTAGTTTCAGGAACTAGGTGTGACTAAGGTTATAAGTGAAAATTTTGCCGACCGAAATTCTACTATTTTTGTAAAACTCAGGAAATAAGTTCATTTCGGTAGCAAAGGATATTTGTTTAGATGTTAATTTCTAAAACAGAGGTTTCTTTTTAAGTTTTTCCCCTAAACCATCCTAATGCTGAGCGACCCTTTCATATAGTTCCTCATGTTGTGGAGACCCCGGACCATAAAATTACTTTGTTGCTACTTCATAACAGTATTTTGCTTCTGTTATGAATCGTAATGCAAATACTGGTTTTCAATGGTCTTAGGCAACCCATGTGAAAAGTTCATTCGACTTCCCAAAGGGGTCATGATCCACAGATTGAGAATCACTATTTTAAGCTTAAAAAGCTTAGTTTGCTGTGATTTCATGACCATTCTGTGTGGAAATATATTTTAATTTTCATTGCAATGTTTTTGGCTACTGATTATTAATTTCTACAAATTAGAATTTCAAATTCTCTTCTTGATGTTGATTTCTAATTTATTTGTACTGTGTGTACTGGCTGGTTTTATGTCAAGTTAACACAAACTTGAGTCACCTGAAAAGAGGGAACCTCACTTGAGAAAATGTCTTTGTAAGATCCAGCTATTAAGTATTTTCTTAATTAGTGATTGATGCTGAAGAACCAAGCCCATTGTGGGTGGTGCTATTCCTGGGCTGGTGGTCTTTGGTTCTATAAGAAAGCAGGCTGAGTAAGCCAGGAGGAGCAAGCCAGTAAGCGGTGCCCCTCTATGGCCTCTGCATCAATCCTGCCTTGCAGGTTTCAACTCTGCTCGAGTTCAGTCTTCCTTCACTGATGGACTGTATGATGTGAAAGTGTAAGCCAAATAAACCCTTTCCTCTCCAACTCTTCTTCCACCATGGTGCTTCCTTATAGCAGTAGTATCTCACCCTAAGTAGGATGGAAATTGGGACCAGCATAGCGGGGTGTTACTGTGACAGACCTGACTGTGTTGTTTTGGGAGGATTATGGAAAGACTCTTGAACTTTGGACTAGAAAAGCCATGGAGTGTCCAAAGCTCGATGAGCTGTTCTGTGGGAGCGTGGAAGATTATAGAGTGCTGAGAGAGAGGCAGATGCTAGAGGCCTGGGTTGTGAAGGTCTAGAGGGAAGTTGAGAGTCACTTAAGGACTATCAAGGCTGTTGTGTATTTTCAGTTAAGCGTCTGTGGTTCTGGTTAGCTGTGCTTAACAAGAGAGCAGAACCACTACAGCCGTTCTTAACCTGTGGTTCACGACCCCAGGGTCAAATGACCCTTTCACAGGGATCGCATATCAGATATCATGATATATTTGATATTTCTTGCATATTAGATACTTACATTACGATTTATAACAATAGCAGAATTACAGTTATGAAGTAGCAACAAAATAACTTTATGACTGGGGGTCTGTAGAACATGAGCAACCTTAAAGGGTTGCAGCATTAGGAAAGCCGCTGTTCTAAAGTAAAACCTTTGCTTTTCTGGGATAGTTATCAGCTGTAGCTAATAAATTAGTGGTGATTTAGAAGATATAAGTATCACTGATGTGAAATCTTCTAGAAAGTGTTTTGTCATACACAGAAGCTGTGTTCCAGAAGTGGCCAAGGTTGTTTCTTGTGCCGGCAGCTAAACCTGGCAGTGTTAAGAATCACCCAGGTGGTTGCTGGTTTTGAAGGAATGAAGGGGTCAGGAAAAGCAGCTGAGGTTTGGCACTGAAGAGGCTTTTGGAGAAGGTGCAGCTTCAGTTGCAAGTGAAGCCCCAGAATTGAAGGTGTCATGGGGAGAAGTTGCAGCTTGGTACCATAAAGAGAGTCTAGGAGAGCTATTGGTGAAAAGTGCAGGCCAGTTACATCAGAAGACCACAGCGTTTTGGAGAAGCCAGTACTGTGGGATGAGCACCCAGGACAGCAGCAGCAGTGGAGTGGAGCCAGCTGGAGCCTAGAAGACAAGCTGTGTGTGCTGCGGAGGACTGAGCCTAGGCCCTTTAGAGAAGCCCAGAAGATAGTGAGTGGATCCCAGAATTCGGCATTGAGTTGTTTATATAGTTGCGAGTTTTGTTTTACTTTGATTTGGTGTGACTGTGCCCTGGTTCTTCCCTCTTGAAGAAAGTACTTATTTTTGATTTTACAGAAGTTCATAGTTGAGAGGCTTTGGACTTTGAAGAGATTTTGTGTTGGGAGCAGTGAGACCCCAGATCCTGAATTTCTTGTAATCCCCTGATCTGAGTGCCTACAGCTGCTCTGAGCACGAGACCTTCAGGAGTTCCTGATGGCAGGAGAGTGGTTTCTTGTAATTCCCTGATCTGAGTGCCTACAGCTGCTCTGAGCACGAGACCTTCAGGAGTTCCTGATGGCCTGAGAGTGGTTTCTGGTGGGTTTGGCTGTGGCGTGGCTATCTCTATATAATCTGCCCTTGAACACAAGAAAGGGGGCATTCTTGGGGAATTCAAGGATGACCCGTGTCGCTGTCTCTCTGTGTGTGTGTATTTTAACCTCCAGCCCCCTTGCCCGGAGCTTGCAAATTGGGTGCCAGCACACAGAGCGCAGATACGGGGGCGCGGTGTGCGGCAATTTTGGGTTTTTTTTTTTCTCAAAACAGGGTTTCTTCAGGTAGTCCTGGCTATCTTGGAACTTGCTCTGTAGATCAGGCTGGCCTGGAATTTACAGAATCTAGCTGCCTCTGCCTCCCTAGTGCTGGGATTAAAGGTGTGTGCTACCACCACCCAACCTGAGATTTTTAATTTCTTTCTAAAGACTTTGGACTTTAAGAGACTGAATATTTTAGAGACTGGATTTTTTGTGTGTTCTTGTTTTTTTTTTTTTGTATGTGTGTGACTCTTTCTCTGTCCCACCAGACAGCTCCCAAATTATGACAGACTTTTGAAAGCTTAGCTGATTGTTTAGGCTTGTTTCTAACTAGCTCTTAAAACTTAAATTTATCCATAACTTTTAATCTACATTCTTTTATGTGACTCAGTTACATTTACTCTGTACTGTCCATGCTGCTTCCTCTGTCTGCCTCTCATTTTCCCAGCATTCTCTCTGCTCCTAAAATCCTGCCTAGCTACTGACAGTTAAACTTTTTATTAAACCAATCAAAATGATATATATTTTCACACAGTGTGATGGAATATTCCACAACCTTTTTTGGCACAGGATTTCTCTGTGTATCCCTGGTTGTCCTGGAACTCACTCTGTAGACCAGGCTGGCCTTTAACTCACAGAAATCCCTGCCTCTGCCTCCCAAGTGCTGAGATTAAAGGTGTGAGCCTCCAAGGCCTGACTGAGACTAGATTTTAAGTGTTTGAATTCTTAAAAGAAGTTTGGAATGTTTATATTGATATTCATGTTGATCTTAGGGATGAACAAGAGAAAGGTTAAGATGTAACAGGGATGGATACATTTGTCATGTTGGCAAGGAGTCAGCTGTGCTGGCTACTTTATGTTATATTGATACAAGCTGGAGTTATCTGAAAGGAGAGAACCTCAATTGAGAAAATACCTCCCTAAGTTCTGGTTGTAGGGCGTTTTTTTAATTAGTGGTTGATGGAGGTGACCCAGTCCACTGTGGGTGGTACCATCCCTGGGCTGGTGGTCTTGGGTTTTGTAAGAAAGAAATCTGAGCCAGACATGATTAAGTTAGTAAGCAACACCCCTCCGTGGCCTCTTCATTAGCTCCTACCTACAGTTTTCAGCCCTACCTGAGTTCCTGTTCTGACTTCCTTCAGTGATAGACTATGATGTGGAAGTGTAAGCCAAATAAATTCTTTCCTCCAAAACTTGCTTTTGACCAGGGTGTTTCATCACAGTAATCATAACCGTAATTTGGACACTGTGGTTACAGAATACTTATACTTGCAGTTTGTAGTTGTATGAAATGCATGCACGGTCATGCTTTGTTTTCCCAAGTGTTTCTTATGCACTTGAATTAAGTATACCGCAGCTGTGGGGTCTAGCTTTGGTTGATACTAGAATACAAGAGTACCTCACTCCTATAGTAACAGC